AGATTCTGGCTCTGTCACCCAGGTTGGAGTGCAGTGGTGCAACCTCGGCTCACTGCAAACTCCGCCTCCTGGGTTCAAGCGATTCTCCTGCCTCAGCCTTGTGAGTAGTTGGGATTATAGGCGCCCACCACCAGGCCTGGCTAATTTTTGTATTTGTAGTAGAGATAGGGTCTCACCATGTTGGCCAGACTGGTCTTGAATTCCTGACCTCAAATGATCCACTCACCTCGGCCTCCTAAAGTGCCGGGATTCCAGGCGTGAGCCACCGTGCCCAGCCCCAATCCTCCATTTCTAGCAGACAATTCTGTTGTAGGTAGGTGGGGGAAGACGACCTTACTTTGAAAAGTTAACCCAGAAGAATAGCTGAAATGACTGTAAAGAGACACAGTAATGGATGAGAACTCCTGGAAAGGTTGAAGGGGATGGATCCAGAGAACAGCTGTGGAAACAGGGGCAAGGATGTAAAATGGGGGTGGCTGTAAATAAGTTTCAGGTTGGGCACTTCATGGCCCTGTTCAAATGGTATGTTGTAGATCATCCTAAAGGCGTCCCAGAATCTGCCAGGAGGCGGCAGTTGGCAGTGTGGCCTTCAAAAGGGGTAGGACAGCTTCAAATCTTATTTTTCTGCCTTTTTGTATCTTATCTCCACTTTGCCTTAGCTTTCAGCCTAAGGACCTAGAATGACAAGATAAATTTGCAGAGATTCCTGTGAGAAATAAGTAAAACCCTACGGGAAGCAGCTAGTTATACTGTATCCTGAATGCCAGAGGATGCCACTGTATTAATGGTTTTCAGGATAGGGACCTGCTCTTTTTGCATCTTTTTTTTGCATTAGATCTTAAGTTTTGCCTTAGTCTACTGATGTAATAATAAGATACACACCTACCAGGTTGCATTTAAGTGCTTATATTTACCACTTTATTACATCGAAGTGATTTTTAACTACGAAATCAGTTTAGAACTGCTTTTCAATCCTCCAGAGTAGTTGGGTGATTTCCCTTATGGTCAAGATTTTGTTAAAAGCACAGGGATCCAAGAAATAAAAAAACAAAAAAATAAAAACAAAAAAAATTTTTAACACTATCAATGATGCCTACCTTCTAACAACTTCCCCAAAAGGAAAAATCAAATATTCTGATTCATTTCAGCTTAAAGCCTTTATGCCGGTCTTCCCAAAGTATGGAGCCAAAGTATAAACCACTGGGAAAACTGAAGAGAGCTAGAACAATCCACCGAGACTCAGGTAAGAAAAATGGTCCTGGGTTCAGAGGGGTGGGCTCCCCGCAAACACTGCTTTCCAAGCAGCTTGGGTCTGGGGGAAGTCGCCTTGGGCAGAGTGGACCCGGGACCCACCACAGGTCAGACTTGTCACATGGTCTCAGGAAGTACTTTGCCCTCCTGTCTTCAGCCTGTAAAATCAAGAGTCTGAGTCTGCTCTCCTTCCCTGGGTTAAAACAAGTGGTGAAAACTGTGCCATCGTGTGTGGTGTTCTTAGCTTTCTGGAAATACGCCTCAAGATCAGTAGAGGCCATAAAGAGAGGCTGGTTTGTTATCCTTGGACATTTTCTTAAGATACTAGTAAATGCTGATAATGGAGACTTTTCTTATCATTTCTGATCAAATTGATCAGTAGTGTTTATACAGAAGGATTTTCCCCTATACCTTGTACCTTCTTTCATTGCTACATTGATTTTTCTAGTGAAGGACAGAGGTAGGCTCTGTAGTGGAAATCAGAATGTTAGATTCTGAGCAAAGCTCTGGGGCTTTCCAGCAGCCCTATTTCATGGTTAGGATTCTTGATTTTCATTCCTTTGGTGGAAAGTCAGTTACTCTGCTGTGCAGTAAATACTTGACCAAAACTCACGAGATAAAGATGATACTATTTTTTGAACACCTATTAATAGCAGGTATTGTGCTAGGTCCTTTACCTATGCTATAGCTAAACCTCTAAACCAACTTACACGGGGTACCATCCCAGTTCTAATTATGACGAAACTGAAGTTTAGAGACTTAAGTCCCTAAGGACTAGCAAGAAGTAAGTGATGGGCCTGGGATTCTAATCTAGGGCGGTCTCTCATCTCTTGCTTCTACATTTCTGCTCATGGAGAATCTAATTTTAAAACATTTAGATGACAATTCCAAGACTGATAAAGTAAGTCTATTACTGGTGCCTGAAGAAAAGCACATTTGTTTTTGTTTCAACAATTAAAAGGTTTTAGAAAAACAGTTCCATGAATTTCAAATGTTAACTCTATTATGTAATGCATCCTCTAATCCTCAGAAATTTACTTAGTTTTTTTTAAAAAAAAAACAGCTTTCCTGAGGCATAACTGATAAAAACTGCACATTTAAGGCACACAATTTGATAAATTTTTTTGCGTAGGCATACACTTGAGAAACCATGACTACAATTAAGATAGTGAGATTATCACCAAGTTTTCTTATGCCCCTTTGTCATTCCCTCCTGTTCTCACCCATGCCAAGGCAGCCACTGATCTGCCTTCTGTCATTATAGTTTGCATGTTCTAGAGTTTCATATAAATAGAATCATATAGTATGTCTGGGTTATTTTACTTAGCACATCAGAGATTCATTCATGTTGTTGCGTGTATCAGTAGTTCACTCTCTTTTGATGAGTAGTAGTCCACCTCAAGGATATACTACAAGTTGCTGATCCATTCACCTGTTGATGTACTTTTGGGTTGTTTCCAGTGTCTTTCTTATTATAAAGAAAGCTGCTATGAACATTCATGTACAAACTTTTGTATGGACATAGGTTTTCACACCTAAGAATGGGTCATATGGTAGCTCTATCTTTAAGAAACTGCCAAAATGTTTTCCAAAGTGGTTTGACCATTTTGTGTTCCCAGCAGAAGTGTATGAGAGTTCTGGTTGCTCCACATCATTGCCAATACTTGGTATGGTTAGACTTTTTAATTTTAAATATCCTAATAGGTGTGCAGTGATAGCTCTTTGTGGTTTTAACGTGCATTTCTCTAATGACTAGCAAGGTTGTGTATCTTTTAAGGTGCCTATTTGCCATCCATGTATCTTCACTGGTCAAGTGTCTATTCAAATCTTGACTCATTTTTAAATTGTTGGGTTTTGTTTTGAGACAGAGTCTTGCTGTCACCCAGGCTGGCACTATCACAGCTCACTGCAACCTCAACCTCCCAAGCTCAAGTGATCCTCCCACCTCAGCCTCCCAAGTAGTACAGGCATATGCCACCATGCCTGGCTAATTTTTATATTTTTTGTAGAGATGGGGTTACACTATGTTGCCCAGGCTGGTCTCAGACTCCTGAGCTCAAGCAATCTGCATACCTTGGCCTCCTAAAGTGCTGGAATTACATGCGTGAGCCACTGCACTCATCGTGTTACTAAGTTTGCCTACGTTTCTGGATACAAGTTTTTTTAAAAAAATATGAGGTGTATAGAAATATTTTCTTCTACTCTGTAGGTAATCTTTTCAATCTTTTTAGTAGAGTATTTTGAAGAGCAGAAATTTTAAATTTTGATTAAGTGAATTTATTTTTACTTTTTTCTGTATCATATCTAAGAAATCTTTGATCCAAAGGCATAAAGATTTTCTCCTGTGTTTTCTGCTAGAAGTTGTCACAGTTTTAGGTTGTACATTTAGATCTGTGATTCATTTTTGTTTTTAAAAATATGGTTCAAATGTAGATCCAAGGTAATTTTGTGTGTGTGTGTGTGTGTGTGTGTCTGTGTATGGATATCCAAATGTTCTTAAACCATTTGTTGGAAACACTATCTTTATTCACTGAATTGCTTCAGCACTTTTGTTGAGTCAGTTTACAAATGTGGAGGTTTATTTCTGGATTCTCTGTTACGTTCCATAATCTCTATCTTGAAAACCATATTGCCTATCTCGATTACTGTAGCTTTGTAAATCTTGAAGTCAGATGATTTAAGTTCTCCAACTTTGTTCCTTTTTCCTTTTTTTTTTGTTTTTTGAAATGGAGTCTCTCTCTGTTGCCAGGCTGGAGTGCAGTGGCACGATCTCGGCTCACTGCAACCTCTGCCTCCCACGTTCAAGTGATTCTCCAGCCTCAGCCTCCTGAGTAGCTGGGACTACAGGTGTGTGCCACCATGCCCAGCTGATTTTTGTATTTTTAGTAGAGACGTGGTTTCACCATGCTGGCCAGGCTGGCCTCGGTCTCTTGACCTCGTGTTCCGCCCGCCTCGGCCTCCCAAAGTGCTGGGATTACAGGCGTGAGCCACCGTGCCCAGCCAGCTTTGTTCATTTTCAAAGTTGTTTTCGTTATCCTAGGTCCTCTGCATTTCCATATGAATTTTAGAATCATATGCCAATTTGTACAAAAATGTCCCTCCTGAGGTTTTGATGAGGATTGTTTTAAATCTGTTGATCAATTTGGGAAGAATTGACATCTTAACAATATCGAATTTTTCAGATCCATGAACATGATATACCTCTCAATTTATTTAAGTCTTCTCTAATTTCTCTCAGCAGTGTTTTATGATTTTCAGTGTACAGGTCTGTGTAAATGAATCCCCAAGTATTTCATTTTTGGGGATACTGTTGCACATGGTATTATTTTTTAAGTTTCAATTCCTGATTGATGTTAGTATATAGAAATATAGGCTGAGTCTCCCTTAGTCAAAATGCTTGGGATCAGAAGTGTTTTGGATTTTGGACTTTTTTGAATTTTGGAACATTTGCATTTGCCTTTGATGGTTGGGCCTCTTTAATCAGAAAATCTAAAATGCTGCAATAAGGATTTCCTTTGTAGTTCAGGTGTCAGACTTTTGGATTAGGGATATGCAACCTGTGCAACTGGTTTTTGTATTTTGATCTTGTATCCTGCAACCTTGCTAATCTCACATATCGTTCTAGTGCCTTTTTTTGTAGATTCCATTGCATTTTCTACATAGATTATCAATGTTATTTGTGTATATAGACAATTTTGCTTCTTCCTTTTCAGCCAGGATGTTTTTCTCTTTTTTGTCTAGACTACCACTACAATGTGAAACAAGTGGCAAGAGCGGGTGTCACTGCCTTGTTCCCCATCTCAAGGGGAAAGCATTCATTCTTTCACCATTAAGTATAATGATAAGTATAGGCTTTGTGTCGGGCAGAATTACTTCCTTTTTGTTCTTGGTAGGTGGATGGATATCAACAATGGATAAGGGGTTTTGTCTAACACTTTTTTTGTATTTATTGAGATGATCCTATTGTTTTTCTTTATACTCTGTTAATATGGTGACATACATTGATTTTTGAGTATTAAACCAAACTTGCAGTTCTCTAATCCCTCTTAGTCTTGACATATTATCCTTAAGTATTATGGTAGCAGTTTTCTCATTTACGTTCAGAAGGGCTATTGGTCTGGAGTATTGTCTTTTCTTTTCCTTGTAATTGTGTGGTTTTGGTATCAGGATACTGCTGGCCTCATTGTTGTGAGGTTTCTTTATTCTCAGTCTCTGGAAAAATTTTTCAAGGATTGGCATTTTCTCTTTCTTCAATGACTGGTAGAATTTACCAGTGAAGCCATCTGGGTGGGACAGGAGTTTTCTTTGTGGGAAGGTTTTTTTTTTTTAACTACAAATGTGATTTAATAGGCATAGGACTATTCAGGTTATTTTTTTTCTTGAGTAAACTTTGGTAACTTGAATTTGTCGAAGAATCTGTCTTATCCATGTTGCTTAATTTTTTGGCATGAACTTTTTAAAATTATTTTAGTATCTGTAGAATCTACTGATATTACTCTTACTCCTGATATTACTTTGTGTCTTCTCTCATTTTTTTTTTTCTTGATTAGTCTAGCTAGAAGTTTACCAGTTTTACTGATCTTCTCAAATAAGAAGTTTTTGGTTTTATTTTCCTTTTTTTTTTTTTGGCAGGGTGTAGTTTCCCATTTCACTGAATTCCACTCTCATCTTTATTTCATCTGCTTATTTGGAATGTTATTTGCTCTCTAAGTTTCTTAATACAGAAGCTGAGTTCGTTGAGACCTTATTTTCTAATGTAGGCATTTAGTGCTATACTTTTCCCTCTTTAGCAGCATCCCACAAATTTGTCTTTTCATTTTCATTCAAAACATTTTCTAATTTTTCTTTTGACACATGGGTTACTTAGAAATTTGTTACTAGTTTCTAAATTTTGGAGAACTTTCCAGAGATCATTCTGTTGTTATCTAATTTAATGTTATTGTGGTCAGAGAACATACTTCGTATGACTTTTTTTCTGAGACAGATTCTCAC